CATACAGTGGGCACCCAGTAAAACGCCCATCGAAGCAGTGGCCAAATTCCAGAGACCCAGCAAGCCCCAGAGGGCTGAGCTGTCCCCCACAATCTGTGTGTCAAACCTTGGGAACAACTTAGAGAAGTCTGGCCTCACCTCTGGGCTCTGGCCACTGCCTCCATCCATGGGGCTACCTTGATGTTTAAGGGCTGTTAGACCCAGGCTGTCACCAACTTAAAAAATCACGAGGTTGGGCAGGGGGAAAGCAACATCAATATGGCAATATTGGGGTCCAGGTATGGGGACTGTGTAACCTCTCTCCTTGGTGTATCTCTGCAGGTACGCTGGCCCCATGGAGCGCGCAGGGGCAGAAAGCATCCTTACCAACCGCTCGGACGGAACCTTCTTGGTGCGGCAGAGGGTGAAGGACGCTGCAGAATTCGCCATCAGCATTAAGTAACTCCTCCCTCCCTGACCCCTCTCTGTTCATGACCTGGGCCCTTCAGGTGCCTGGGAAGCAGGGCATTCAGTTTTCACTGTTTCCTGTACCAAAATAACAACCACCTTTCTGAGCTCCTGTTGGGTCCTGAGTGCTTTGACCTGTCTCATTTCTTTTAATTGACTGAAAACCCACAAGAAGGAGATAGGATTCCTACAGAGGCCGAAAAAGGCCTTTTGCATCCTCTAGGAAGAGGCTGAAACACGATTGGAACCGAAGCATCGCGGATCCTGGCTCCCCTGCCTTTCCGTGTGTAGTGTAGTGTGTGCTGCTTCTCACTCATGGTGACTTGTTTCCTTGTCAGCTTTATAATTTTGTGTTGTAATCTTAAGTGGGACTTTACCTGTGGGAGTGTTATGCTGCCTTGGTCTCCAGAGACATTTTGCACTTGCTTCTGTTGGGATCAACAATAGCCTAATTTATTTTTTAGGTTAATTGTTTTTAAGGTTAATTTCTTAGTTTCCCAGCCTACACAGGTGATTTCCCTTCCACACAGATGGAAAGTGATGAATTCTCAAGGGTGCTTTGGGTCTGAGACACGCAAGCTTTCTTATCCTCTCTTTTGTGTTGATTGGTGGAGTTTTCTCCAGCCCACCCCTTTTCCTGAGGATGTGGCTCTTCTTTTGTTTTGTTTTGAGACAGAGTCTCACTCTGTTACCGGGACTAGTGTGCAGTGGCATCATCATAGCTCACTGCAACCTCAAACTCCTGGGCTCAAGCGATCCTCCTGCCTCAGCCTCCCAAGTAGCTGGGACTACAGGT